ACCATGAGCAGAGTTTTGGGCCACGCACAGTGTGGACCCCGTATGAAGTTCTCCAGACAACATTGTATGTTAGAAAAATTTATGCTTTCAGAACAAGTTACTGCAGTTATACAGGAAAAAAGAAAAAGGATGGTGAAGCACTGGAATGCGTTACCTAGGGAGGTGGTGAAATCTCCATCTTTAGAGGTTTTTAAGGCCCAGCTTGAAAAAGCCCTAGCTGGTATAATTGAAGTGCGGTTGGTCCTGCTTTGAGAAGGGGGTTGGACTAGATGACCTCCTGAGGTCTCTTCCAACCCTAATTTTCTATGATTCTATGACTGCAGAAGACTAAGCATATTAATAATAACGGTGGGTACCGTGAGCTTTGGAAGACTGTATCATAGGAGAAAAAAACTGATCAGTGTTTTTGAGGAACCCAGTGAGTGAAGAAGGCAGTGGATGTAATATATCTGGACTCAGATGTAAGCAATGTGTCAACTTTAGCTGTAGCGACCAGAGAGTTTTCGCAGGGACTGATGCCAGAGGAGGGTTTCAGAGGGGGCTGGGAATATCTACGGGAGTCTGAAGTCAGAGCTGCTCTGATATGCTCCTGTAACCCTGGAGGCAGAAGCTCTTTTTGCAGGGGTAAAAGGAGCACCATGAGCTTAGTTTTGGGCCACGCACAGTGTGGACCCCGTATGAAGTTCTCCAGACAACATTGTATGTTAGAAAAATTTATGCTTTCAGAACAAGTTAATGCAGTTATACAGAAAAAAGAAAAAGCTTTCTAGAAGCCTAAGTATTTTGTACTAATATAGTTTGTGTTATGTTTTTTTTTCCAGTTCAAACAATGGGTGATGGTGAGTCTGTCTACATACAGTATTGTTTACATTTGTACTGATTTTAATTTACAATGTTCTGCATTTAGCTAACAACACTCTGTGTTGTGGCTTGGAAAATGACAATGCCCTGTGAATTTAATTATGATTGTAATGACATTAAAGTTCAACTTTCATGGTAAAGAGATTGCACAACAGTACTTTTGAACTATAAAGAAAACTAACCCATTGTGTGGCAGTGCCGTTATTGGTAAGCTATGTTCACAAGTGCAATCACAATGAAGATGCTAGTGTAAGCTGATCAGGTACTTTCTTTGCATATTGTCCCAATGTTGTCGTTCATGGGGTCATTTTGCAGCTGAAAGATGAGTCTCCTTGAGTGTCATGATTATAACACGATTAAATGAAAAAATACCTGCACGGTGTTGAGTCCACGCTCTCTCTGACTGAAGGGACGTCTCTGGCACAGTGGATACCGGAGTCTCTCTTTGGATCTATTAAAATGTCAAATTAAAATAATGTTTAGGCCACACACCAATTTATATCAACTGAGGATAACTCCACGCAAACCAATGGATCTACAATAATTTACATCAGCAAAGCACTGGCCCTGTGTGTTTCCATGGCTCTTTGGGGAATTCAGCAAATTACCCAATTGTAAATAAACAGAATAAATACTGAATAAAAACAAAAACATACAAAAATTCCCAAACTATATTCCCATGTCATTTTGTGCTAAAGGAAAGAAGAAAGTATATTTTTGCATCAATAATCATAAAAAAAAAAGGTTTCTGAGAAAGTGATTTAAAATATCACAATAGCAATACAAAAATTTGTGTATAGTAAGCAACAAAATAATTGATTCTTGTGTCGTTATTAAAAAAGTCTCTATTTTTGTCTGTTTTCTCAAAAGAGAGCACTACACCCACTTATGAAACTAGTACAACCATTCCTGACACCAATACAACTACGATGCCAGAGCCAGCCATCTATTGTAAGCCCTATTTTATCTTTGCTTTACTAATATTGTATATATTTTATATTGTATCCACCTACTGAAAATATAGAATAGAATTTTACAGTTTAATGACCATAATTACTTACATGAAATCAGTGGCACGATGACTGGATGATGGAGCTAGGCTGTTCTCAGTGGTGGCAGATGTGACAGAACAAGGAGCAATGGTCCCAAGTTGCAGTGGGGGAGGTCTAGGTTGCAAAATGGTGGTTGGCTAGCACGTTGGCTGATAAAGACAAAGCATATGAATAATAACTGTCTGCAAGATGAACTTTGGACAAAATCATCAAAGGCAAAAAACTGATCACTGTTTTTGATGAACATATTGAATAAAGAAGGCAGTGGATGTAATATTTCTGGACTCAGATGTAAGACATCTGGTCACTATATCAGAAACATTCCTTGGACACTTTAGTTAGTATTGGCTTGGACCTAAGTATTGTCACATGGATTCAAAATAGAAAGATGAATGCTTAAGGAAGTACCATGATATGCAAGCAATGTACCAATTCTGATTGTAGTGACCAGAGAGTTTTCAGAGGGGACTGGGAATATCTACAGGGGTCTGAAGTCAGAGCTGCTCTGATATGCTACCGGAACACTGGAGGTAGCAGCTCTTCATGGGAGAGAATGTAGGCATAGATCAACCAACCCCTTTCACAGTTCGGCATAAACCTCCCCTTCTGCAGGAGTTTGGGGAGCACCATGGGTGGAGTTTTGTGGCACACACACTGTGGACCGCATATGAAGTTCTTTCCATTGCCAAACAATATTGGATGTTAAAAACAATTATGCTTTCAGAACCATTTAGTGCATTTATACAGGAAAAAAGAAAGTTTTCTAGAAGCCTAAGTATTTTCTACTAATATAGTGGTGGTATGTGCTTTTTTTCAGTTGATACTGTGGGTGATGGTGAGTCTGTCTACATACAGTATTGTTTACATTTGTACTGATTTTAATTTACAGTGTTATGCATTTAGCTAACAACTTTCTGTGTTGTTTCTTGCAAAATGACAATGCCCTGTGAATTTAAGAATGTCTGTAATTAAATTGAAACCCTGGAAATGTGAAGTGAGTTTCATGCTTGGGAAAGGTGGTTCAGAATGCTGGAGCCTAGAGTCTCCTATTCATTCACAGAAAAAACACAGTACAAGCCATTGCTACGTAGGCCAATTTTCCTCATTTGGTGAGACTTCTCGGGTGAGGCACATTGACCACTGAGTCCTTGGACTCTCTGCTGAGACAATCACGTCAACGAGGATAGGGCTATGGCCAGCCAGGAGCTAAAGGAGGATGACTAGCTTCTCAATAAATGGCATTGCATTGCCAATATGGGACAAATTTTAATTGGTAACTGAGAAGTATTAAAACATCTGCATGTGAAAATGGACAAATAGTCTAGCAATTAATTGATGTGAGTCTTTCACAGTGCTGTTGCTGGAACTTGTAAATGGGTCAAACCACTGTGCAGGTTGTGTTGAAATCCTTCACTTTGAAGGCTGGGTAAAAGTTTGTGGTGATTTGTGGGACATGAACGATGCACAAGTTGTGTGCAGGCAACTGGGCTGTGGTGAGCCTGTTGCTGCTCTGAGAAATAGCTATTTTGGTGAAGGTTCGACAGATCCTTGGATGACTAAAGTGAGCTGTACTGGCTCTGAAGACATGTTGTGGTATTGCCCTTATGAAAATTGGCCGAATTCATGTGGTTTTTATGGAGATGCTGGTGTCATATGTTCAGGTACATATTCCTTTTTCTTCGAACTCTGTAGCTTTTCGTTAATCGGCTTTGTGATTACTGTAAAATAGACTAAGGATTATGTTTTTAAGTTCTTTGCTTTACAATTTGTTTTATCATGACAGTAAAATGTCACATTCCTCACTAACATACATCTTAAATATATTAACCATACTTTAATGAAAAGGGCATTATCTGTTGATGTAGATGATGCTGGCGAGTGATATAGACTTTAAGGTCAGAAGTGACCATCCTGATCATCTAGTCTGGCCTCTTTGACACCACAGGCCACAGAACCTCAGCCACTCACTCCTGCAAAAGGCTCATAATCTCTGGCTGAGTTACTGAAGACCTCAAATCTTGATTTAAAGCCTTCAAGTTACAGATATCCTCCATTTACACCAGTCTTTTTAGGACATGTGTAGGTCAGGAGTCTTATCAACTTGGTCTATATGGGCCCTAACCAACTTCCATTTAACTTCAGTGGGAGTTGGTTTAAGCCTAGTAGAAGCATAATTTTATTATATTTGAATATTATTCTAATAATTAACATGATTACATTTTTGCAAACATGCTGTTTAAAACTTCTGCTCTGTTCTGAAAAATGCCATCCTCAATGAAAGACCCATTAAATATTTCATGTTTCTACATTAACAGATTCTGGAATGACCCCACCTACAGAAACAGGTAACTCAAGATTAATACTTTATGACAAAAATTCCTTTCCTGCAAGGTAGTCTGGCCCCAATCCATCAAAGTAGTGTGCTGCTACTAGTAAGAATTTGGATGACTTCTCTTCATGTCTCTTCATCCACAAATATTTAATACATTTCAATTGGTATTCTATTGTTTAAAAGTGCTATTAAAAGTGCGACAAATCACCATACACTTTTTTAATCGCGATTAATTTTTTGGAGTTAATCGCGTGAGTTAACTGCGATTTATCAACGGCCCTATATAAAAGTTCTAAATATTATTGTTGTTATGTTGATCTATAATATTTGTCTTAAAATTGTTCGGGAGGTTTTCTTAAATTGCCAATGTGCATACAGAGGCTGGGATTTAGAGCATGTTTTGCTGTTCCTCTGCTCTTGCATATCATTGGCTATTTCTATTGCAAGTTAATGTTCATCTCCTTGATAGCACAATAGCAGGATCCATTGTCATTTTCATAAATATCTTCTCTAATTGTGCCTTTGTCTCATTGCAGCAAGCACTCTGTTTCCTCCAGTGAGAACCACACCAAATGGTAAGTGCTGTCTCACTCTTGATTTACTAAGATTTATTTTTTTATTCAACGTCATACTGATCCAGATGTGTGACCTAATCTGGACATGTAATCCCCAGAAGTGGTCCAATGTGGTTTCGTATGTGACCCCAGTTGTCACAGTGTTACCAAGAGGGAAAGAACTAACTAATGTGCTAATAATAATTTCCTTGAATCTATTTTAGGGCTGGCATTGAGACTGGTCAATTCATTGAGCAGATGTGAAGGTCGTGTTGAAGTCTATTACGCTGGATCCTGGGGGACAGTGTGTGATGATTCTTGGGATTTCAATGATGCAAATGTTGTGTGCCAGCAGCTTGGATGTGGATATGGTGTTGCAGCAAAGACCAATGCCTATTATGGTCAAGGCTCAGGAAATATTGTCCTGGATAATGTGAGTTGCAGAGGATCGGAATACAGTCTATGGGACTGTCCTCATTCAGGATGGCTCTCTCATAACTGTGGTCATTCTGAAGATGCTGGAGTCATCTGCTCAGGTAAATACCAAGAGTTTGCAGGTGACTTGCAGTCAAATGACCATGCTTTCCACCATATCTGAGATGTTTTTGAAAGTTACATTACAAAGTTTTCAAAATATGAAATACCGTTTTTGGAACTGGATCTAATATACTAAAAAGGCCACTTTTTTACTTTCTCAAACATTAGTTCCATGTTTCAACCAGCCAGCCAGTTAGTTTCATGGTGAATGTGATTGTGCTAGCATAGAATAAAGATATACAAAAAAAGGGCGGGGGAGGGAAGCACCCCAGGATAGCTAAGAAATGATTATATTAGTCTGAAGTTCCAAAGGGCCGCATCTGTCGACCAGGGTTAGTTTTCCGTTCTGGTAACCTCACTTCCTTTGAAAATAGAAAACTGCAGTGGTGATAGGGCATGGAAATGCGATGTGAGAAACCTAGATTTTATTCATGATTCCAAAGATGAAAAAAACTTATTTAAGTTTCAGCTGTAATCTTTTTCCATCAAAAAAGGTAAATTTTTCTGGGATTTTTTTCATTTAGCTCAGTGGGAGTCAAGCACATTTTATGATGACCCTTAACAAGATTTTACAAACATGGTGTCTTCAAAGTTTTACTCTACTGGTTTTCAGACATAACATCCTACAGGAAAGTCATGCAGCTTCAAATGTCATTTCCCCTTAAAATGTTATAAATACATCCAAGTTAATACCAGATATTTTTTTCTTTCATTAACAATTTCAAAAAATAATTTCTGGTTTGGATCAAAAACCAAATACATGAAAATTTCAGTAAATTAAAAAGTTGAGGAAAGTATGTTTCAGCTAATTCAAAACATTTTATTTGAATAAAATTGCAATGTTTTGGTTTGATTTCACCTAGTTTTACAGGTTTGTTTTTTTGTTGTGTTTTTTTTAAAAAAAGGAAATTTTGAAACTAAATGTAATGTCAAACTAAATAAATGAAATATTTCTTTGACATTTTCAAAACCAAATATTCTTAGTGGGGTGTTTTGAAATTGTAGTATAATTGAACAATGAATTGAAACTAGCATGAATTGTTTTGGTGTTGCCGAATCTGCAATTTAATGAAAAAAGTTTTGGCTTAAAAATTTTGCTCAGCTCTACGGCATTCATAAATACTAAAAACTGTTTTTATAATTTCATATGTTTTTCCCTAGCTGCTGCTGGATATCCAACTTCTCCATCAACGGGTAACTCATTACTTGCATGTTATTCACCTTATCTAAAATTTTAATATGCTGAAATGAACATGTACAGGATCATCACTGAATTTTATTATAGACAGAACTGGTACCACCACTTATAGTTGAGGTTGAGTTAGTTCCATGGTGAATGTGATTTTGCTAGCATAGAATAGAGATATACAACAACAAGATACTGGTGTCATCTGCTCAGGTAAATACCAAGAGTTTGCAGGTGACTTGAAGGTCAATGACTGACACAGAATATGTTTTCATCATGTCTAAGATGTTTGTGAAAGTCACATCGCTGAGGTTTCAATATATGAAATACAGTTTCTGGAACTGAATCCTAAACTAAAAGGGCCACTTTCCTACTTCCTCAAACTTTAGTTCCATGCTTAAACCAGCTAGCTTGTTAGTTCCCCAGTAAATGTGATTTTGCTAGCATGGAATAAAGATATACAACGATGACAAAAAAGGGAGGGAGCGGGGGTAGCAACCAAGTAATAATGATATTAGTTTGAAATTCCAAAGGGCATCTCCTGTCAGTCTGGGTTAGTTTTTCATTCTGGTAACCTCACTTCTTTTGAAAGTAGAATGCTGCAGTGGGGATAGGGCATGGAAATGGGATGTGGGAAACCTAGATGTTATTCGTGCTTTTTCTATGCCACTTCACTTCTTTATGCCTCCGTCATCCAAAAAGTAAAATAGGGATAATGAGACTTACTCAAGGTCATGAAGCACTTAGAGATCCAAAGATGAAAGACCTATTTAAGTTTCAGCCATAATCTTTTCTCATTAAGAAAGGTAAATTTTTTGGGAATTTTTTTATTCACTTCAGTGGGTGTCAAGCGCATTTTACTATATTTTATGATTATCTTTCACAACATATTACAAACATGCTGTCTTCAAAGTTTTGCTCTACTTGTTTTGAAACATAATATCCTCCAGGATAGTCATGCAGCTTCTAATGTCATTTGCAGTTAAAATGTTATAAGTACATCCAAGCTAATACCAGAGTCTTTTTTCCTTCATTAGCAATTTCAAGCTCCAAGACAATAATAACTGAAACTATAACTTCTCATATTTCACCCTAGCAGCTGCTGGATATACAACCTCTCCATCAACAGATAACTCATCGCTTATATGTAATATGCTGAAATGCGCATCTACAGGATCACCACTGAAATTTATTATAGGCAGAGCTCGTACCACCATTTATTGTTGAGGTTGCTTAAGAGTTTCCATCATAAGATCCAAATTTTAGTTGCCTATTACTTTGGCAAACTTCAACCATTAAGGCTCAAATCCATTTGGGCCAGAAACTGATGTATTTTGGGAAGTTTTAGCTAAAACATTTCAGCTGTTTCAAAAATAAAACTAGAAAGACCTGTTGTTCTGCCCAGGTTAAGAAATTCCTTCCAACGGTTTCACTGAAAAGCTCCGGTGCCTTTATGATTTCATGGGGGATTTGGAATTTGGCAAAGGGCATATACATTTTGTCATTCCTGTGAAAATTCACCATAGGTCTCTAGTTATGCTTTGATTATCTATCTTCTTGCAGGAACAATGGGATACACTTCACCATGGCCCTGGTACACAACAACTGGTAAGTGTTAACTCATTCTGCTTTCATTAAAATGTTTCTCTCTGATTGGGTTCTGTGCTAGAAATGTTTTGAAACTCTAGCCTATGATTTTATAGTAGAATTGCCACATGAACTGAAATGAGAGGAAGGAGAGGTTGAATAGTAATACAAAGGGCAAATTTCAAAAGTGGTACAGGCTATAAATGTTTCTCAGTACTTGTTCAACAGTATTTGTTGAACTGTACAGGTCCATCACACACCCCTACTCTTGCATATTATACCCCCGGAACACTGAGGTGTGGAGAGTAAATATAATTTTCTTCAATCCCTCCGACTCCCTCTTGCTTGTGTTCCACCACTCCCTCCCCAGAAGAGAACAAGGCCTTCACATTTAGATTTCCCTATCAGGCTCTCTGCCCAGAACCTGAATAGGTCATTTCCCAGGAGACATTAAAGCACTTTTCTGACTGTTTGTTACTTTATTCATGAATCTGCCATGCCACTTGGCTTCTTTATGCCTCATTCATACATAAAAAGTAAAATAGGGATAATGAGACTTATTCAACTTCATGAAGCACTCAGAGATCCAAAGATGAAAGACCTATTTAAGTCTTTAGCCATCAAGAAAGGTAAATTTTTCTGGGAAGTTTTTCACTGAGGTCAGTGTGAGTCAAGCAAATCTTATGATTACCCTTAACAAGATATTACAAACATGGTGTCTTCAAAATTTTGCTCTGCTTGTTTTGAAACATAACATCCTCCAGGAAAGTCATGCAGCTTCTACCCCTCATTTCCCCTTAAAATGTTATAAATACATCCAACCTAATACCAGATTTTTTTTTCATTCATTAGCAATTTCAAAAAATCAGTGTTTCAAATAATTCAAAACATTTTATTTGAACAAAACCATACTGTTTTGGTTTGATTTCAGCTAGTTTTACAAGTTTGGTTTTTTTTTTAAAGGAAATTTTGAGACTAAAAATCATTTCAAACTAAAAAAAATGAAATATTTCTTTAATATTTTTAAAAAGAAATGTTCCTAGTGGAGTGTTTGAAATTTTAATTAAATTGAACAATTAATTGAAACTGGCATGAATGGCGCAAAATTTTGGTGTGGATAAATCTGCAATTTAGATAAAAAAACTCCTGGCCTAAAAATTTTGCCCAACTGTATGGGACTAATAACTGAAGCTATAATTTCTTGTGTTTCACCCTAGCAGCTGCTGCACATACAAGATCTCCATCAACAGGTAACTCATCACTTCCATGTTATCCATCATGATATAAAATTTTAATATGGTGAAATTCACATATACAGGATCACCACTGAAATGTATTATAGGCAGACTGGTAGTGCCACTTTAAATATAAGGTATACTAACAGTTTCCATGATAAGACCCACATTTTAGTTGCTTATTACTTTGCTTATTACTTATTACCATTAAGGCTCAAATCCATTTGTCCCAGAGACTGATCTATTTTGGGAAGTTTCAGCTAAAACACTTCAGCTAGGAAGAAATGTTTTGCACAGGTTAAAAAATATTCTTCCAGCTGTTTCACTGAAGAGCTCTGGTTTTGAAATCTAGCCTATGGTTTTATAGAAGAATTGCCACATGAACTGAAATGAGAGGAAGGACACGTTGAATAGTAATACGAAGGGCAAATATCAACGTGGTACAGGCAATAAATGTTTCTCAATACATTTGTTGAGCTGAACGGGTCCATTACACAACCCTACTCTTGCATATTGTTCCCTCAGAACACTGAGTTGTGGAGAGTAAATATAGTTTTCTTCAATCCATCTAACTCCCTCTTGCTTCTGTTCCATCACTCCCTCCCTAGAAGAGAACAAGATCTTCACATTTAGATTTCCCTACAAGCCTATCTGGCCAGAACCTAAGTAGGTCATTCCCCTGGAAACATTAAGGAACATTTTCTGACTTTAATATATGGTCCTTCAACTTATTTTGAAAGGAAATATCTAGCATGATAAGGAAAGCAAAAGAGAAAATGTAGAGGTAATAACTGTGAGCAACATGTGCTTATGAAGAACACATCATGAGAGAAAAAAAGATTGCTTTTTTTAATGAACACAATGAATGAAAGAAGGCAGTAAAGATAATATATCTGTACTCCAGTAAGACACATGGTACACTGTTTTGAAAATATTCCTTAGAAGTATTAGTCTGAGGAAGCTCAGGGGGTCCTCTAATTGTCCCCTTGTCTTACTGTAGCAAGCACTCCAGTGAGAACCACGCCAAGTGGTAAGTGCTGTCTCGCCTATGTTTTATTTTATTTATTTGTTTGTTTTACTGTGGGATTCGACATCACACTGATTCAGATGTGTGACCTGATCTGGACATGTAATCCACAAAAGTGGTCAAATGCGGTGCTATATGTGGGTCAGATTGACCCCAGTTGTCACAATGTTACCAAGAGGGAAAGAACTAACTAATGTGCTAATAATAATTTCCTTGAATCTATTTTAGGGCTGGCATTGAGACTGGTCAATTCATTGAGCAGATGTGAAGGTCGTGTTGAAGTCTATTATGCAGGATCCTGGGGGACAGTGTGTGATGATTCTTGGGATCTCAATGATGCAAATGTTGTGTGCCGGCAGCTTGAATGTGGATATGGTGTTGCAGCAAAGAGCGGTGCCTATTACGGTCAAGGAACAGGAAATATTGTTCTGGATGGTGTGCATTGCAGAGGATCGGAATACAGTCTATGGGACTGTCCTCATTCAGGATGGCTCTCTCATAACTGTGGTCATTCTGAAGATGCTGGTGTCATCTGCTCAGGTAAATATCAAGAGTTTGCAGGTGACTTGAAGGTCAATGACTGGCACAGAATATGCTTTTCACCATGTCAAAGATGTTTTTGAAAGTCACATTGCAGAAGTTTCAATATATGAAATACACTTTCTGGAACTGAATCCTATAATAAACGGTCCACCTTCCTACTTCCTCAAACATTAGTTCCATGCTTCAACCAGCCAGCAAGTTAGCTCCCTGGTGAATGTGATTTTGCTAGCATAGAATAAAGATATACAACAACAACAATAACAAAAGGGAGGGAGTGGGGTAGCACCCAAGGATGGTCAAGTAATGATGATATTAGTCTGAAGCTCCAAAGGGGAGCATCTGTCACCAGGGTTAGTTTTCCGTTCTGGTAACCTCACTTCCTTTGAAAGTAGAATGCTGCTGCTGTGATAGGGCATGGAAATGGGATGTGGAAAACGTAGTGCCATGCCACTTAGGTTCTTTATGCCTCATTCACCTACAAAGTAAAATAGGGATAATGAGACTTACTCGAGGTCATGAAGCACTTAGAGATCCAAAGATGAAAGACCTATTTAAGTTTCAGCCATAATCTTTTCTCATCAAGAAAGGTAAATTTTTGGGGAATTTTTTTATTGACTTCAGTGGGAGTCAAGCACAGTTTACTATATTTTATGATTACCCTTCACAACATATTACGAACATGGTGTCTCAAAGTTTTGATCTACTTGTTTTGAAACATAACATCCTCCAGGAAAGTCATGCAGCTTCTAATGTCATTTGCAGCTAAAATGTTATAAGTACATCCAAGCTAATACCAGAGTCTTTTTTCATTCATTAGCAATTTCAAGCTCCAAGACACTATAACTGAAACTATAACTTCTCATATTTCACCCTAGCAGCTGCTGGATATACAACATCTCCATCAACAGGTAACTCATCACTTACATGTTATCCATATTACATAAAATTTAATTTGCTGAAATGCTCATATACAGGATCACCACTGAAATTTATTATAGGCAGAGCTGGTAGAGTCACTTATTGTAGAGGTTGCCAGTTTCCATCATAAGATCCAAATTTTAGTTGCTTATTACTTTGGCAAACTTCAACCATTAAGGCTCAAATCCATTTGTCCCAGGGACTGATGTATTTTGGGAAGTTTCAGCTAAAAAACTTCAGCTGCTTCAAAAATAAGACTTGGGAGACATGTTTTGCACAGGTTAAAAAAATTCTTCCAGCTGTTTCACTGAAGAGCTCTGCAAAAAGAACAGGAGTAGCATAAGTTTTCGTATGCATCCGAAGAAGTGGGCTGTAGTCCACGAAAGCTTATGCTCTAATA